AGAAGACAGAGATTATCTCCATTTTCTCTGGTAGGAAGATGTCAAAAATAAGAAGCAACAAGATTTTAGACATAAAAGTTTGGTTTCCTGTAAGTAACCTGCGGCCCTTTCATTCTTGGAGCTGTTATCCAGTACCATCTTCAGAATGTAAAACAGGAAGCAAAAGAAATCGCTGAAAAATTAAAAAAACCATTTATGTTGATAACTGCATCACTTCAGTCGACTCAGAGGAAGAAATGCATAAATTTGTTAAAGTGTCTACCGAGTTGATGGCCCCAAACAAATTCTGATTGATAGGGTGGGAGTGTACCGAATGTAAGAGGCCAAGAAATTGGGTTCAGCCAACCCCAGTCTTGGGTCTATTTTGGGATCGCTATGAAGATATCTTATTTTGTAATGTCAGTGCAGTAACTAACTCCCCCCCCCAAAAAAAAACCGATAACTAGAAGAATTTTGCTCTCATTGCCTCAGCAAGTATTCAGTCCCATTGGATTTTCTAGTCTAATGACTCTTTTGCCAAAACTATGGCTCCAGGAAAACTGGATATCAAAACTGAGTTGGGATGTTGAAATACCAAAAGAATTGCAAAGCAGTTTTTAAAGTAGCTTGATGATCTTCATTTAATTAAGGCACAATAACACGCCGAATAAATACTAATTCAGAAGTCAAACAACAAAAATCAGCGTTAATTTTCAAATTTTTACACTGTGAAAATTTTGAAAATTAACTCTGATTTTTGTTGTTTGATTCTGAATTAGAACTTCATTTGTTTAAAATTGTGAAAATACCTGGCTCAGAAAACCTCACAGATTTACCTTTAAGAGGCTGTACTGTGAAGAATTTCATTCCCATTGGTACCATCCTAGCTGAAGAAGGAGGAAGGTCAATGTCCAAAATCTGATACATTGATCAAACAAAAAGTATTTTCAGAAATGGAAAAGAAATCATGGATAATGTTAAATGCCACGATTTGACAAAGGTTGGTTTCTGATATACTTTTCAAGCTGTAGAAAAATAATCAAAGTGGTTACATAGATTCTAAGATTCTTGAATAACTCTCGGAAAACTAAGGAAAACAGAATGAATGATGGTTTAACTACGAAAGAACTTTTAGAATTAGAAAGAAAGATTGTTAATGTAGTTAAAAAAGAATTTTTGCTGAAGAATACTTATCTGGATTGCAAGATATTTCTCATTTCATAGATCTTTCAGGAACAATTCGTGTTAAAACAAAATTGACAGAAAGAAAAAATCGCGAGAGCTTTAAACCGCCCATTTTATTCCCCAGTGAACACAAAAGGGTTGAGCTATACATCCAAGGATGGTAATGATAGATTAGTGCGTTTGAAAACCGCTAATGGAGAATTACTCATATATGTGCAACTTATCTACAGTTTAGAAATTCAAGTTTAAAGTAATTCAAACTAGAAGGAAGAACTGAATGGAGAAGGAACTAGAAGAAGGAATGGAGTCGGAGATTCTTCACGAAGTTCTTAAGGAGAGAAGCACCAGAAATGGTCGGAACACTAAAACGCCTACTAAATTCAAGGAATACGAACTTAGACTTTGTAGTTTTATAACAGAATTTTGATATAATATCATTTATCAGAAGATGGGAGAATGTTGAGTTATTAATGTGATTAAAAGTGCCACCTATTATTTTTTTATATTTTGATTTAAGTTGCCCTTTAATGGCAACACAATTATTATATTTTTACAATGAAAGTTTGTTTTGAAGGTATTTGTTTTGTTGTTCTGTTGTGAAAAGATAAACGGAGTTTAAGAAGAATTAGTTTGAATTTCTTTTGTCTTATCCAACAAGCGTTTCCTGTTTTAACCAGTCGGAGCAAATCATTTATCAGTCTGCCAGATTTTTGCATTACAATTAATCAGCAAAATGTTAATAGATGGTGTAGGAAGTCTGACATAGTAATGTGCGTATTTTTTATAGATAGTAATCAGAAAACTATATTAACTACTTGTTTCTTGTGACATTAGCATAAATATGCTTTCTAGGAATTTTAAATTGTGTTTAGCTTTCCGTATGAAAAATGGAACGTGCCGCGTACGAAGTGTAAGTATTAAATTTTTTAAACATGGAATATATCTAAATACATTTATGTTCTCAAAACTCTAATACACCATTCCTCTATCTTTTTACTTATTGCGGAATTATTGAACTATTGAGAAATTTGTCTTCTTAAACATTCACAATATCGCAAAACCTGTCGAAATTGAAAAATCTTACTGTAATATGTTATCTAATGTAAAATATTACAACCCTGTACTGAGACGAACTTTACCTCTCTGTTTTCTGTACGCTATTTTTTTTTTCCATGTGTGAAAGAAGTTGAAATAAAGGTTCAAGTTTTGACCATCTAACCTGGATATTATTCCTTAGTCAATAATCTTCACTGTTTGTGAGACAATTGCATCTGAAAGACTTCATTGTTTCAAGAGAATAAAAGTATAACATAACCGAAAAACGGCTATCTTTGGATTATGATAACTTGGCGAAAATTTGGCGGCAAACCCTGCTATAGCAACCTACTAGTTTTTTTTTTTGGACGCCATTTTTGTTTTCAGGAAGTAAAGGCTTTTTTTTTTTTTTAACTCAACATTTTTTTCCAACAATCTGCTAGCTGAATTACGCTTATGCTAGAACTTTTATGGAACAAAAGTGCTTAATTATGACGAAGATTAGGTGCAAAATTGGGACAAAGTGCAGAATCACCCACTGCTTGCCGCATTTTTAAGAATTGCACATACATGGTATCATCCATGTACACGTCTACCTATTTTCACTTAAAAAAACATCCCAGAATTGCACAAAAATGGCATTGTGCACACTCTTGACTTTATCCATGTACATTGCTAAAGTCCTAGCTAGTAACCTTTATCGCCTTACCAAAATGTCGCCTAACTACCTGTTACCATATTCCAAAGATTAGCCCCGAAAAACAAATTAAAAATTTTATCTGAATCAAATGAAACATTTGCTAAATATTGAATAAATTTACAAAGGTCAAAAAGGAATGTAGTAAAACATTAACTGAAAATATCTTCGTAAATAAATATTCATTTTTGAATTTATGAAATATAAAAAAGAAAAGGTAAAAATATATTTAAGAAATGCACAAACTTGGCATCCATATACACATCAACCTATTTTCACTTAAAAGTATAACATTAGAGAATTGCACACTCCCCTTACTTTGTCCATCAATCTATTTTAATTTTAATAGTCAAAGGAGTAGCCAACAAAGAATATACAATCTCAATAAACTGAATTTTAAATCAAACAATCAAATAACATAAAAAAGGAAATTCATCTTAGCTCTACACAAAGGAAATATCCACTTACCTTATTTACAAATTTCTGTCTTCAGTCAAACAAAATTCCTTAACAACATCCAAAAAGTTTCTAAAATTATCTGAACTAGAATCTGTATACTGACTTCATCACATAAATTCACAAAGAGTCAAAAATATCCTTTGTAGTGTTGGCATTCTCAGCTTTCGACCATACACATTTCTTTCCTACAAACAGGACACATAATAATGGCTACTAAGAAAACCTTCATTTACACACCAGTCAATTAATGCTCTTTTCCTCTTTCGTTCCAAATCATACAGAAACTTCAAATTACCACATTCAGTTAGTTACCATCTAAAGCACAAAACAAGCAACGAACTTCCTAACCAACACACATCACAAGCCCTTACAAATCTTTTCCCCTCATTCAAATTCACTGCAACCAATAACCAAGATTGGAACTTAGACTTTATAGTTTTGATATAATATATAGTTTTGATATATATATATAATTTTGATATAATATCATTTATCTATTATGATGTAATTGGTTGCATATTTTAGCCAATTATGTCATAATAGGGTTTCCATATCATTCAACTACTCAGGTTACCATAAATGAAACAAACTTCACGATAATACAAAGGGTGTCCTTAAATCTACTCTAACCAAATTAGTTAAAAAAAGTAACTATAACCAAACATCAAGTGAGGAGATCAGAATTTAGCAGGAATCAAATTTTACTATTTTTCAAAGTATTAACTCCACACAAGTTTTATACATTGTAAACATACCAACTTTCAATACTTTTTCTTTAATGGTGGGTACTAGCCAACTTTCAATACTAGAAGCGTAAATATTTTGTCATTTTGTAAATATTTATCTCACTTTTGACACAAATATCATATTTTGCATTTAATAAGTTTGATAATTTAAATGAAGATATTTTCCTCTCATTATAAATGGAAGTAAGAAATCTCGGATTATACTATTAAGATTTACATTCACAAAGGTCTGACACCTTGGAGATTACTCTTGGTCTAGATCATGGATCAGATCGGATTACGCTCCTACTGATAAAGTCATTAGCAAATTATTTTTTTAATACGTGTATGTGCAATCTCAGGTACCACATTATCTGTTCATTATTAAGGAGAACCTTATAATTCATAAAAACACTTAGAGGTAATACTACTTGATTTAAGATTAACAAAATCTGGTTGTAAAAATGAAGATAATGTTTCCTGTTTTGATGTAAAGTAAGCACCTTTAGATGTCATAAAATCTGTGGATATAAATAAATCTTTAGATGTCATAAAAAAAAGTGGTCACTGCCTTTAGCCACCACAATTGTTAAATTTAATTATACAGTACAAAGTCCGTAATCCGGACACGTCGGAACTTCGGCGATTCCGGATTAGGGGTTTTTCCGGATTATAGATCATCAATTTAAATCTGGTGAGATGGCGTGCAGAAATTATACATTTAAAAATATGAAACCGTAATTTATGAAATAAAGAGCAATTATGATTTACTTTATTATACATTTCTTTCAATGTAAGTTGTTTAAGTTGCTTCGTTTTTTGTGCTAATACTTTCTGTTTAATTCTATAAACAGACATAATTTCTTGTTCAGTTACAAAGTTCCACTGTTCAAGTCCTGTAATTGCTGTATCAAGAATACCGACTAACTTGTCAATTGAAAATTTTTCATTTTCAATAACCTCTCTGTCACATTCTTCGCTATCGGAAACGAAGCATGCGTATCGGAAGTGTGCATTAAACGTGCATGCGAAAAGCGTACAAAAAAAACAGGTTGTGGCTTTGAGGTCTGGATAATGGACATCCGAATTACGGACTTTGTACTGTATTTGATAATATGGGAATTTCAGATGTTGCCAAAGGCTTATACAGTGGCCGATTTAACAAGGACATTCCTTAATTTTTACTTCAGTATAAATGCGTTTGTAATTTTGAATAATTATAATTTTTCAGTTACCAGGAATTACCTTGGAATTGAAATAATTTTTGTTTACTTATTGGATAATCATTGGTTAGCATCTTTTCACTTACCAGTCAGAAATTCAGCCCATCAAAACAAACTACCTATTTCCAGTTATCTAGGAATCAGTGCTTGTGTTTGCAAATTCATGTGAGGCACTAAAGCAATGTTTTACTGAGAGAAATTGCATTCGATTCGATCTTCTGCTGCCTAATTCCATCAGTGTGGAATTTTGTTGCATGGTCCTCTTAATCACATTTGTAATACAGTTCTCAAGGACTTCGCACATCAGCGCATAAAGTTTTCAGCATTTTTCTCTTATTCCCTTGATAAGAAAATGCTGCTGAGCTGTGTGATAATAAGTACCTAGTTTTTTATGATTCAGCAAATGTGGTTAGCCACTTAGAAAGTAATAGAAGTATTTTTGGTACAATCTTAAAAATGTAAAGCAAGGAATTGTACAAGTCTCAAGAACTTTCAAAATGCTGTCCTATGCATTGAGCTCTAGCTGTCATTCATCATTTAAACTAATTCATCAGATAGTCATTGTCACATTATTAAATATTTGGGTTAATCTTCGGATTATGGTAACTTAACAATTTTTTGGCGAAAATTTGGCAACCAACCCTGCTACAGCAACCTGCTAGTTTTTTTTCTTTTTTTTTGGACACCATTTTGTTTTCACAAAGTAAAGGCATGTTTTTTCTTTTTTTTTTTTTTTTTTAACTCAACATTTTTTCCCAACAATCTGCTAGCTGAATTACGCTTATGCTAGAACTTTTATGAAACAAAAGTGCTTAATCATGACGAAGATTAGGTGCGAAATTGTTAGAAAGTGCAGAATCACCCACTGCTTGCCGCGTTTTTAAGAATTGCACATGCACGGTATCCATGTACACGTTGACCTATTTTCACTTAAAAAAATCCAGAATCACGAAAAGTACATTCTTGTCTTTATCCATGTACACTGCTAAAGTCCTAGCTAGTGACCTTTATCGCCTTACCAAAATGTCGCCAAACTATCTGTTACCATATTCCAAAGATTAGCCAATATTTGTATACTTTCTGATTATCTTCACCTTCACCAAAAAATCAGAAATGCATTGCTGACTTTGGAGAGAAACATTCGTGTGGGTATCTTTACACATCTATTTCAATAATACATCTAGTGCCACTTTTTTTTTTTTTTTTTTTTACTCTTTTCTCTTTCCACACAAGATATACACATTTCTTGGTTTCTTGCACTGATGTTCTCCCCATGTACTTTGTGATATTTTTCATTAAAAAAAAAAAAAAAATTAGAGAGTTGCACAGATGTGGCATTGCACATAACCTCTGCATTAAAATCCTAAAGTGAGAAGGAAAAATGAAATAAATGATGCATTTAAATAAGCCACTTTGCATTTTATGCATGCAAAACATGCTGAAATTTCTTTGGGATCATAATATGCAATCATACTGGCTGCACTTATACCAAAAATTATGGTAAAAGTATATATATGGGTATCCCTTGGCTAAAATTAGCATCACATGGATACTGAGTTTGTGCAATTCTTTGACTTGTTATTTTCAAAAATCACCCTACACAGAGCCAAAATAACAAGACAAAGAATTGCACAAACTTGTTATCCATGTGCACATCGACTTATTTTCACTTAAAAAAACATCAGAGAATTGCACAAACTAGGCATTGCGTACTCCCTTGACTTTGTCCATGTACGCATCGAATTATATTCATTTAAAAAGTCAAAAGAGCAGCCAACAAAAAAATATATAATCTCATTAAACTACATTTTAAATAAAACAGGGAAATAACGTGAAAAAGAAAATTCATCTTTGCCCTGCACAAAGGAAGTATTCACTTACCTTATTTACGAATTAATACGTCTTCAGTCAAACAAAATTCCTTAACAGCATCCAAAAACTTCCTAAAATTATCTTAACTAGAATCTGTATGCCAGCTTCGCCACATAAATTCACAAAATGAGAGTAAAAAATATCCTCCCGTAGCGCTGTTATCTCCCGACCATACCCATTTTCTTCCTACGAACAGGACACTTAATAATGGCTACTAAGTAAACCTTCATTTACACCACCAGTCAAGTAATGTTCTTTTTCCCTTTCTTTCCAAATCATACAGAAACTTCAAATTAATCTTACCACATTCAGCCATTTTACTGTCTAAACCAGAAAACAAGCAATATACTTCCCTACCAACACTCACCACAAGCCCTTACAAATTCACCGCAATCATGAAACCGACTACATCATAATAAGGTTTCTATAACATTCAACTACTCGGGCTACCATAAATAAACTACCACTTGGCGATAAATGAAACAAGAACTTGGCGATAAATGAAACAACACCTTCATGATAATACAAGGGGTACTCTCTCTCTACTCTAAAACCAAAAGTATTTATGAGTTACTGCTTTTTTACATCATCATGGATGTTAATTCTTTTTTACATCATCATGGATTGCCACATAAATATTTTTGGTGACATGTGTATTGCTTCATCAATACATTTTAGCAGCTTTTTGGTGAAGGTGCAGATAATCAAAAACTACAAATATTTTATTAAGACGGAATTGATAATCATCTGATTCTTTTCAAGCATCACTTATAAATTCAAGTATATTTCCATCATTTTTGGTACATCTATGTATGTAAAATAAAATTTAGATCCTTTTTAATTCTCATTGTCATATATTTTTTAAAGCAAATAATTTGTTCAAACGAATAATTTTATAATGATTATTGCTTTTTCAGGATTGTGTCATGACCGTCTCTCATTGTCTCATCATATTATTATTTTTCAGTAAAATATGTTTTGAAATGGTGTATTGGCAACAGCAAATAATTGAGTGCTTCATAAAAAGTATTTTTATTAGTCTTACATATATGCATATAAATTTTGATATAGTTCAGTGTACATGACTCTTTTTCCTCCTTTTTGTATAGACTGATCAGAAGACTATATCAGCCTCACAAAAGAGTGTCGTACGAAAGTTTCCCATTGCTGGTGTTAAGGATATTATTGTTGTCGCTTCTGGTAAAGGTGGAGTTGGAAAATCAACAACTGCAGGTATAAACAAATGCATTTTTATTTATTATATGTAGTAAATATTTATTAAATTTCATAATAGTTTGTTTTTGAAGATATCATGTAAACTTAAATATGGGTACAATGTTAAAATACGTATGAGCATTGCTTTTAAATTATAGGCAGTCATATTATGGTGGGTATTCATTAGTAGTATTTACTAATGTGGTAGTGTGGATAACTGTGGCTTTTCAGTCACTTTTTAATGCTGCTTGTACTCTCCTTTTATATATAATGATAATACAAGTTGAGACAAGGGATTGCTTCTTGTTGAATAGAATTTTGGCCAGCATTGATATCAGCAACTGTTAGCCAAGAATGCTATGAGGAATGAAACTGGAATATCTGGAATCTAGTGTTTCTCTACTATCAGCCACTTTGGAGGATTTGTGGATCTACAGATTTTAGGAGCTTCCACTGTAATAAATGCCATACAACCACAAATGTCTATGCATTGATTAAGATTCAAACCTAAATCTAACAGATTGTCCACTTTTCTAATCACCATACTCTCTCTGGTAAGGTATTTTATGCAAATGTTTTAGGCAAAATAGTATGGGAGCTAGTATTTTAAGATATTTGGAGACACTAGTAATTTTTTTTTCACCCCTTAATTAAAAAAAGGTTCCTTTTTTTCCAATAAAAAATCTGAATAATGAGTTTAAATATTATTTTTTAATCACTGGGAAATTTATTAAATGAGTAGACTTGTTTGTCTATGTTGTTTTTTAAGAAAGTATTACTTTCATTCTCATTTGCAGTTTTTTGTGGAAATTTAAATTAATATTGAGAAATTCTCTAAAAATTTGCAAAAAGCTTGCAGTTAGTGCAAAAAGAGCTGTTTGTTATGATTTTCCAAATAGAGATAGTATTGCTTTAACCACTTTTAGTATCTCACCAAATTTGGTTCAATTTCAGTGAATAGTTTCAAAGAATTAAATATATATATATATCAAAGAAATGTTTGACTTTCTAGAGAATATAATTAGATTACTTGAAAAGAAGAAGGGCAATATTCAAGTTCTACATAATTTCATTTTCCTCGTAATTAACGAATATTTAACTATTTAAACTTTTTAAATGGTTATTCAATGTCCAAGTTTCTTTTTTGTGTTCCAGTATTAAGCATTATATTCTTTAAATTTGATTAATATATTTTTTTTTAATTTCTTTCTTTGTTCTACAAATAATTTAATATTTTGAGATTATTTTTATAATTCCTGCTCTTATTTTGCTCTATATTACAGTAAAAGCTTGACTTCGCGGAGAGCTCAAGAAATGTTGAATGCCAGATACATGAAAATTATGCAAAGTTGAGCATATAAAAATGCAGTTTACAGTAAGAAAGCTGAATAAAGGAAAAAAGAGGTTTCCAGGCTAAATTATTATCTTATTTGTTATCAGCTTGAATTTCAAAAGCCTGCATTTAAAATTATGTAAGATTTTGAACTAAAACTGCATTTAAGATATAAAAACTGGCATATTTTCATAGATCTTTATATATATAAAACTGTTTTATCCAATTATGAAATCCCTAGTTGACCTTTTAAATTATGGTTAAAGATATGCATATGTGGTGATTCTGCCAAACTTTTGCCAGTCATTTCAGCAGAAGTTTAAAAGAACTGATTGCTCTTTATTTAGTTAGATAACCAAAAGATACAGGTTACAACTATAACATATAAAAACTTAAATTGCTTGTCACAATGTATCATTTTGCATTGAAATTGGTTATCTGTTTTCAAATGTTGCATATTAATTTTGTAAATACTTCACTGTTTGCTCTTCTGTTTAGAGCAGGGGCCAAATTTTAATCATTTTTCCAAAATGAGAGAGAAACAGATAAATAGCAGTTAACTTAATCCATCTTCAGAAAAACTAAATTAGCTTATCAAGAATAAATCAGGTTAACATAAAATCAAGAGCAAAGATCTTTTATGATATAACAAGTGAGCCTTCCGATTCTCAAACAAATTGAAAAATACTTTAAACTAAAATGACTAGCCAGTGTACCTGTGTCCTGTATAACATTCAGCCTTTGTTTCAACCCTCCATGATCTGTCTCAAATATTTTTTTTTTTTTTTTTTTTTTTTGTGTTAATACTGATGTTAACTCTAGTCAAGCGCATGGAGAGAGCTAAACTTTTTGACTGCTCAGTGTCTATGTTAACTCATTGAGTTCACAGAGGGAACTCTAATCTTTTGACTGCTCAATGATCACTCTCAGATTATTTTTTATCACTCTTATTTTTGAAAAAATTTGTTGTGAATATAAACATTGATCAGATGAATGCATCTATATTCATTTAAAATTGAAACATCAGTTTATTTTAAATTTTTGTACATACATATGCATATCTTTAACCATAGTCTTTTATATATATATATATATATATTTGTAATCTCAACTGGTGTCGAGATTACAGCAATTTTTTTAGACATTGAGAATGACAGCAATAACAACAGCAACAGCAACCCATCCAAAAAAAAAAACATTTAAAATAAAATGTATTATTGAATTTCTTTTTAAGAATGTTTCTTTTCACTGTGAATGTGTTTCACAGAAACTGTGGAATTATTATTTTTGAAATACTACCAGCTGCAGCTATACATCCATGCCACACACATTTTTTTTCTTCTTTGCCTCTCTGAATTATATTAACCAAGATGCTGATGTCACTGCTAATGCAGGGAATAATAACTGAAGGAACTATAAATAATTAAAGTAAGCAAAAACACATTCCTCTCATAATTTCTTAAAATTAATATTAAAACAATTCGCAGAAATGCAAAACTGGATTATAAAATTAGATCATAAGATAATAAGGCTTATAACATCCTATGCATTTTACAATTGGAACCTGAAAATCCACAGTTTTAAGTAGTATATAAAAATAACATCTTGCCTGTTTCCCCAATAAAAGTTTTAAAACTTAGGATTCCATTTTAAATTGTTTTACAAATTGTCGCCATCTGCAGCTTCAAAACAAAGAATAATTAAATTACATATTTTGGTATTCTCCAATGTTTTCAGATATTGAATTAGTATTTTTTTTTTTTTTTTTTGTTTAACACATTTAAACTTTGTGCCAGAAGAGCAAAAAATTAAATGAAAATTTTGAACCCTTTTATAGAACTCAAAGCAGCAACAATTTTTAGAGGCGAAGCTATTCGCAGCAAATCATTTGATACATTCATCAATTTTCATCCCAAATATAATTAGTATAGCAATATATATACATATATATATATAAAAGCAACACTTTGTAAATGTGAATGTCAATCAGCTGACTACATCCATAGCACACACATTCGTCTTTTCTGATATGCTAATGTATTGTGACATCAAGCTTATTCATTACTTACACTAAATCATGCTGTTTAATGACAGTTTTTTTTTTTTTTTTTTTTTTGTTTGTTTTGTTTTTTGTTTGAATTATACTTCTGTATGTGCTTTGTGCTGGCTTTACAAGTTTCATTAACTAAATTTTTCATTTAAAGAATAAAAGTATCTGAAATTGCAAAATATTCTGGTTACTTAATTAAATTATGTAAGATTAAAAAGTGAAATTATTTGAATAATCTTTCTTTTAAACTTCTGCTGGAATGATTGGTACAAATTTGGCAGAATCACTGTTAATTAAGATGGTTAGTTGAATGGCAGGTAGTCAGACTTTTACTGTATTATAGAATATGAGGAAAAAATTAATATTTTTATCATATTATTGCATATTTGAAGAAAAATGCTATTTATTGTATGATCATGATCAGTTTCATATAGTAAAATACTTTTTTTTATTCTATTTTAGTAAATTTGGCATTGGGAATAAGTGCAAATAAAAAGGTAATAAACAGTTTAAATGAATGTAATTTTTACTTTTGTTACAGTAATTAATTATTTATAATTACCGATGTTTTAATTTAAATGTATTTAAAACTGCTGTGTTCTAGGATAAGCTTGTTGGGTTATTAGATGCTGATGTCTACGGCCCATCTATCCCACGTATGATGAATCTAAAAGGACAACCAGAATGTACTGAAAGTATGTTCATATAGCTAACAACCATACGCATGCATAATATTTTTTTTAAAACAACATTCCTCTTGCCTTTACAAAATTTCTTTCCCAGTCTGAGTTAAGCACAAATATCTTCATGCTATTTGTTCAATTTTTTTTTTTTTTTTTTCCAATGTGATGAATTTAAAATACATGTTTTTATGGATAAGCAAATTCTAGCATTATTGATAATGGGTTTTTGTGAAACATCATCTTTTATTTGCAGTAAACACAAGAAATGTATATCAAAGCTAGTTTTTATGATG